TCCCAGCTACTCGGGAGGCTGATGCAGAAGAGTTGCTTGAACCGAGGTGGGGAGGTTGCAGTGAGCCAAGATTGCACCACTTCACTCCAGCGTGGGCGAAAGAGTGAAACTCCGTCTCAAAACAACAAACAAAAAATGCAATGGGGAATAGCTAGTCCATGAGCTCAGTCCATGTTAGCCATTCAAATTGTTGCCTTGGCACTCCGATTTCCTTTTTTATGTACCCTCCATGATTTCCTCGGACTTCCTCATCAGTTCCAGCTGTTTATAGCTGCAGAAATAGAAGGAAGTGGACTTGCCAAGATTCACACAGTCAATCAGTACCTGGACACCCAGGTCACCAGACTCCAAATACTGAGCCCCTCACACCTTATAAGGGTGGGAGAAAAAAACTCTGTCTGCCAGGGGTTCTCTATAAGGGTGGTTGACTGAGACTGTCATAGTCTTTTGAGGGAGCCTGAAGTCTTTGCCCTTTTCCCAAAGCTGGTCTCTCGGCCTTCTGTAGCCCTTCCAGCTCAGCCAGTGTGGAGAACTGAGGGGGCAGAACAATGACGAGCCTGTGCCACCCTCCAGGCCTGGAGTCCGAACATTGCAGCCATTCCTACTCAGGGACCCTGCACATTCCCGCCTCCTGTCCTCCTGTTCTGGGTCAAACCCTGACACACCTGCCCTTCCCCATCCTGACAGCTCCCAGATGGTGGGAAAGCTCCCAGGACTATGCAAAACCTCTCAAAGCATTTTAAAAACCTGCACACAGCCTGACGCCCAAGAAATTTCCAAGCCTTTCTGAAGTCATGGTCTCTAAGCAGACAGGCAGCCCCTGGCAGGACTTCCAAAGAAACTAACCCCATTCTTGCAATAAGCAAGCTTTCAAGGAGGCCCTGCCTAGTGCCAGGCAGGCTGCAAGCCAAGATAAGAAGATGTGGTCACTGCTCTCCACTGATGTGAACAAAATCACAAGATTAGCGTTGTAATGGGGAAAGCTTCTGGTGGGGCCAGGGAAGGCTTCCTGGAGGAGGTGGTAATGGGAAGGTCATCAGGTTCTCTGCCTGGGTCTAAGCCTTCCTTGAAAAGCCACCTTCTGGTTGCTCAATCCCCCTGCCCTCCTGCCACTGGCTCACTTGCATTCTGTGTTTCAGCCACACCACTCACAATCCTCAAAAAGGACTAGGTTGTCTCTGGCCTCCATGGCTTAACACTTGCAGCCCTCTTTTCCCTTTGCAGAGAAAACTCTTATTCCACCTCCAGAACCCAGATTAATAGTCGTATCCTCCAGGAAGCCTTCCTTGACAACCCCCTTCCCCAAGAGTTAGGTACTTCTTCCGTTCCATTTTTAGTTCTGCACTTCTCTTGCTGCAGTACAGTTTTATGATGTGTCTTTTGGCCTGGCACAGTGGCTCACACCTGTAATACCAGAGGCCTAGGCGGACAGATTGCTTGAGGTCAGGAGTTCGAGACCAGCCTGAACCACATGGTAAAACCCTGTCTCTATTAAAAATACAAAAATGAGCTGGGCATGGTGACACATGCTTGTAGTCCTAGCTTCTTGGGAGGCTGAGGCGTGAGAATCACTTGAACCTGGGAGGTGGAGGTTGTAGTGAGCTGAGATCATACCACTACACTCTAGCCTGGGCAACAGAGTAAGACTCCTTCTCAAAAAAAATAAATAGGCTGGGTGAGGTGGCTCACGCCTGTAATCCCAGCACTTTGGGAGGCTGAGGTGGGTGGATCCTGAGGTCAGGAGATCAAGACCATTCTGGCCAATTTGGTGGAACCCCGTCTCTACTGAAAATACAAAATTAGCCGGGCTAATTTTTGTATTTTTAGTGGAGACGGAGTTTCAGTGCACCTGTAGTCCTAGCTACTCGGGAGGCTGAGGTAGGAGAATCGCTTGAACCCAGGAGGCAGATGTTGCAGTGAGCTGAGATCCCGCCACTGCACTCAGTCCCTGAGCAACAGAGTGAGACTCCATCTCAAAATAAAAATAAATAAATGTTTGTCTATTTATACCTCTGTAACCTCCAATTTGTGAGCTCTTCTGATGCAGGGACATCTTCTTTGCCATTACATTCTTGGTGCCAGGCCTAGGTATGTGACATGTCTCTGCAGGGTTCAAGAGGACAGCTACGTGATACATGGCGTTTATACTATGCTTTCTTCCCCACTGTCTCCTTCAACATTCGCCACCACCCAGTGATGGTAGTAGGGCAGGAATGATATGAAAATGAACAAGGCTCTATGGAGAATCTGACAGGAGCTGAGTGCAAGGCCAGACACTGGCAGGGACATTTGTGTGGGATTTAATCATCTGAGATTCTCCGTGCCTGACATAGAAATGTTTGGCGAATCAGTTGTGTTTCTTAGAGCTCAAGAAACTTGCTCAAGGATGTGCAATTTAAATCAACGTTTTTTTTAGGATTTACTATTATCAGGGCCTGACCTTGAATTGCTCCCAGCCCAGTCCTCTGGCATGCCCTGGCAGATGGAAAAAAAATCCTGCCTCTACAGGCAATGGCCTGTTTCTGTAGGCTCTGCCATCTGGGTCAAACCTTCCCTCCCCTCCCCTGTGTTGCTTTTACTATCCCATCTGAGACACTTCTTTTTCATATTTAGAACCAGAAAAAGGCTGGGTGCCATGGCTCATGCCTGGAATCCCAGCACCTTGGGAGGCCAAGGCGAGTGGACTACCCGAGGTCAGGAGTTCGAGACCAGTCTGACCAACATGACAAAACTTCGTCTCTACTAAAAATACTAAATTAGTTGGGCATGGTGGTGCATGCCTGTAATCCCAGCTACTGGCAGGAGAATCGCTTGAACCTGCGAGGTGGAAGTTGCAGTGAGTTGAGATCACAAATTGAACTCCAGCCTGGGCAACAAGAGCAAAACTGTGTCTTAAAAAAAAACAAAAACAGAAAAAAATTGTCTTTTGTGAAGAGTGAATCTCTTCCATCACATAACAAGAAAAAAATGGGCTGGGCTTAGTGGCTTACACCTATAATCCCTTGGGAGGGGGGAGGATTGCTTGAGCTCAGGAGTTCAGGATCAGCCTGGGCAACATAGTGAGACCCCATTTCTAAAACAGAAAAAAAAAAAACCATCTCTTTGTGTTTCCCCTTTCCCTCTGGCTGCCAGGAGGCTTAGAGACAAGTAATAATAATAGCATTACAGTAGGAGTCAGAGTTAAAATATTTCCTCCCTACTTCCATGCTATGTGACTCCTTCAACTGAAACCTTCTTGAATCTTTTAGGTGAAGAACAGGTGTAAATAAACATTTATATAATGAGCCCAGGGGAGAAGTCTGGGAAAGGATCCAGGTTGGAGAGCAGAGGGCTTAGATGAATCTCTCACCCTCCCTGAGACCCAGCTCTGTCAGCAGCCTAGGGTGAGAAATCTTGTTGCAGCCCTTGAATAGAGGCAAGTCCTCAAGGCCAGGGAGGGGGTCACAGTCGACACCCTCCCTGCCTAGGCTGTGAAGCTCATTTACACTTCAGACTCTGTGTGGCTAGAATTTTTATTTTTAAGGAGGAGTCAGAAAAGGAGTGTCTAGTGTGAAATCTCCTGGCTGGTGAATGTTGGCAACTAATTTGCATTTTTTCAAAACACTATGTAGGACAAATCAAACTTGGCTGCAGGCCAGATTGCACAGAGGCCCTCCCTTGCTCAGCCAGTCGAGACTAATCTACCTCCAAAACACTCCGTTGAGGTCAGGCCGGGGGTGGGGGAGTTTACATCATTTCTCCTGAAACCTGCCTTTTCCTCTCCCTACATCCCAAGGGATCTGCCTTGTTCTGAGATGACCCACACTGGACCATTCACAGGACACTGCCTCAGCCCTGGATGACTGCCCTAATATGGACACTTGACCTAAAATGAGACAAGGAATCCCACTCCTGAGATATTTGCACTGGGGACAGAGCGAGGGACTGTCCCATGTGAGATAATTCCCATGGCTGGAGCTGTGAGATACAGAACTTGCCAGCAGTTGGCCGCTATGTTTTCCATGCTGAGGGTGTGATAGTGGTGACTAACAAGAGAAAGAATCCTACAGGGTCAGCATGCCTGGCTCTAGTTGTCCTAAGTCCACTACTACTTTCCTGTCCTAAAGGGCCAGAACACCCCAGTGTCCTCATGGTATCTGGCCTAGTTGTCCAAGCTAAGTGAGTCAGGTTTCTGTTCCTTGCAATGATCACTCCTAACTAGATCTGCTTGGGCCCTTTCCAGTCCTGCCTCTGACCATGGCTGGGAAACAGTTTCCTGAGGAATGGGAGCTGCAATGAGCTTCTAATCCCAGCCTCACACCCCTAACTCTCTGAGAAATTAAGGCAGTTTGGCCGGGCATAGTGGCTCATGCCTGTAATCCCAGCACTTTGAGAGGCCAAGACAGACAGATCACTTGAGGTTAGGAGTTTGAGACCAGCCTGGCCATCATGTTGAAACTCCACCTCCATTAAAATTTAAAAAAATAGCTGGGTTTGGTGACAGGTGCCTGTAATCTCAGCTACTTGGGAGGCTGAGGCAGGAGATCCCTTGAACCTGGGAGGCAGAGGTTGCAGTGAGCCGAGCTCATGCCATTGCATTCCAGCTGAAAAGAATTGGACTCTTTTCATTTTCATGTTGGTCAGGCTGGTCTTGAACTCCTGACCTCAGGTGATCCACCCACCTTGGTCTCCCAAAGTGCTGGGAATACAGGCGTTAACCACCACGCCCAGCCCCGTTAACATTTTTAATTGTCCTAACAGAAGAGGGGGCAAGTGCAACTGGCATCTACTGGGTAGAGATCAGGGGTGATAAACATCCTCCAATGGGCAGCACAGCCCTCTACAAACAAGAGTGATCTGGTCCAAAATGTCAATACTGCTGCTCTTAGGAAGCCCCAGCCTACCTTCCCTGAGATTTGGTGTTCCCATCCCTAACATGGGGACTATGGAGCTGTCACATTTTTCATGAGAACCCAGTGAGTTGACAGACATGATCCTCCTTTCAGGAAAAGACACAGTTCTGCAGAGATCATCATGGAGGGTTTATTACTGGGAATAAATTAAGATGGAAGCCCCAGCAAAGTGGGGCGGGGTGAGGTGAGACAGGTTGCCAATCTGTGTCCAAAGTGGGACGACACAGGCTCCACACAGGAGGAGGGCTCCAGGGTGAGCATGGCATCTGGCAGGGCCTCGCTCAAGGGGGCTGGGCTTGGCCCCAGAAGTGTGGCACAGGATGGGGAGGGAGTGCAGGGGTTCCTGCCAGCTACCTCGGTCTTGGGGAGGAGGAAGGGCTAGGAAAGTCCAGCAGAGGGAGAGGGTTAGGACCCATATGGATAGTCCTCACACGGCCCACAGAGCTCGCCCTGTTTCTACCACCTCTTACCCTGCCTGGAGCCCCCACGCTCTCTCACATGTACACATCTCATCACCTCCCCACGCTTGCCCACTCCCCCAGACTTTTTTTCTCTCTCTTTCCTCTCCAACCCTCTCTTCCCCCACGGTCTTACCCCTCTGCATGTCCCCACCACACAGCCTCACCAGTTCCAAGCCTGAGCCCTGTGGAGTGGGACTGGGCTGGCCCAAGCTGGCATCCCTTCAAGCGAGGTTCTTAGGTTCTCTCCCGGGGTTAGCTTCCACGCCTGCTGCCTAAAGCTGCAGCGCTGGTGCTATTGAGTGGAGGCAGGGGAGCTGAGTGGGGAAACTAGGTATTCCACGAAGAAATGAGGGCTTGGGAGGCTCACGACAGGCAACTATTGTCATGCCTGACTCTAGTCGGGGGCAGAGTGCTGCGCAGCGCAAAGGCACTGGGGTCCAGCAGAGGATGCCCCAGAGCTGGGGAGAGTGGGCTCGAGTGAGTTGGCTTGACACGGAGAGCAAGCCCTGGGCCGGCAGCAGCAACTCGTCCAGGCACCCGGGTGCCCCAACTCCACTGCCAGCGTCCTCCCAGAGCACCTGGGGCCTCAGTTGGGAAGTCCCAGGCTGCAGAGGGATGGCCCAGAGGGCCAAGAGGCCGGCCTCCCTCTGCCTTGGGGGTCTCCCGGCTGGGCGGGCTGGGAGGGCTGGGAGAAGGCACCCAGTGCTGCCCGCCGGTCCCGTTCGCGAGTCGGCTCAGACCTCGGGGCCGCCGAAGGCCAGGTTGTCGCGCACCATCAGCGTCTTGCGGAGGTCGCGGTCCACCAGGGGGCGCTGCATGCGCCACTTGTGCGCCTCCTGCAGACCCGGCTCGAAGTAGTAAATGCAGGCGCCGAAGCCCACCAGAATGAGGACGGAGATGACCAAATAGACCGGCACGAACCAGTCCAGGAAGTGCGGCATCGCGGCGGCCTTGGCTGCGGAGACACAGGGTGGGTGAGGGCCAGCAGAGGTGCCCCTTGTCCCGCCCACCCAGAGGGAGACCTGCAGGCTTCACAGAACCAGAGGCCCAAGCATCACTTTACAGATGGGAAGACTGACGTCCAGAAGAGCAAGGGTGGGTGAATGGCTGATCAAGAGCACGTGGTGACTCCTGGGCAAGCACAGAGCTGTCCCCACACCATGGGGACACCCAGCTCCTATTCACCCTTTAAGAAGGAGACTTAGGCCGGGCGTGGTGGCTCAAGCCTGTAATCCCAGCACTTTGGGAGGCCGAGGCGGGTGGATCACGAGGTCAAGAGATCGAGACCATCCTGGTCAACAAGGTGAAACCCCGTCTCTACTAAAAATACAAAAAATTAGCTGGGCATGGTGGC